CCCCTGGCCATTGCTCCTGTGGTCTCTGGACCAAGGCTGAAAGCACTGTACTGCAGAGAAGCCATTTTCCTGCTGTCTGAACTGCGGGAGCCCAGGGTCTTGGTTTCTGGGGCTGTGATTTCAACATAGGCTAGAACATGGAAAACTCTGGAGCCCGTGGGTGGACAGGAGATTCGCAATAAGTCCCAGAATCTGGTCCTGGGTCTCCTCAGCAGATAGTCCCAGTTGTGCTTCTAGTCCCAAGTAGGATTGTTCTCTCCTGCCCCCTTGTGGTTGTGCGGGGCTATGCAATTGGTTCTGGCCAATGAGGTGTGAATTTAAGGGACAGGTGTCCCTTCTGCATGGAGCCTTAATTGCTAGGGCTCTTTCTTTTTTTCCTCCTGGAGTGATGATTGAAGGCATTTGAGATGGTGGCTGCTCTATCAGCCTGGGTCCTTGAATGTCTAAAATAAGATGACGCCTCTTTTTGAGGGGTGTGGGGGGGTAACCAGGGATTAAACCTAGGAGTTTTTATATTTTATTTAGAGACAGGGTCTTGCTGAGTTACTTAGGGCCTAAGCTGAATTGCTGAGGCTGGCTTTGAACTTACGATCCTCCTGCCTCAGCCTCCTAAAATGTTGGGATTACAGGTGTGCATCACTGCACCTGGCTAGATGAACCCTATTATTGACCACTAGACTGAATGAGAAACAAACTTTTGCTGTTTTAAGCCCATAAGATTTGGTCTAGCTAACCTTGAATAATACATTTACATACAACAACCAATCCTACAGGCTACCTGGTAACATCCTGAACAATAATTATTACTGTTGCTGTGTTATTGTTACCATGGTCATTACAGGTGCCACTTTTAAGTGCCTCTTGTGTGGACCAGGCTATGCAACCCAGTGTATGCAATGTTTCCATTAATGTCTACAACAAATCCAGGAACAGTTATTATTATCCTATGATCAAGATGAGAAAACAGAAGCTTAGGGGTTGGCACAAATGTTTTACTTGCTGTATTATGGTCATTGAAGATGCTCTTCACTCCCTGATCCTTAGCTGATGTCCCGTGCAATCAATGCTTTTTAACAATGATTGAACAGTTGTTATTGTCCCTTGGAAGATAACTTTAAAACATGTATCAAGCACCTTTAGAATATTTATACCTTTTGCCCACTCATTACTTATCTCTACCCAGGACTTTGCAGTGTAGTAAGATTGCTTGACCAGTAAATACAGCCACGTACTGCACACCATTTCAGTCAGCTGAGGACCCCATATCCAATGGTGGCCCCATAAGATGATAAGGAGGTAGGAGGGAAGAATAGAAGAATACTGGACTAGATGAGCCCTCTTATTGACCACTAGACAGCTGGGACTGAAGGGAAGGGTGGGTGAACAGGAAACAGGAAAGACAGTGAAATGAATCTGACTTAACTTTCCTATGTACCTATATAAATCCATCACAGTGAGTCTCCACGTCATGTACAATCACGAGACTGAGGTTAGAATTAGTATAAGATGTATTCCATGTTTGTATAAATATGTCGAATTATACTCTATTGTCATGTATAACTACAAAGAACAAACTTAATTTTTTAATTAGAAGTTTATAGTTATATATAGTTATTGGGTTAACACACCCATTTTTTTTTTTTGGTGCTGGGATTAGAACCCAGGGCCTTGTACATGCAAGGCCAGCACTCTCTCAGCTGAGCTGTATCCCAAGGCCTAAAGAACAAATTTAAAAATAAATAATGTTCAAAAGATGATAATGGAGCTGAAACGTTCCTATTGCCTAGTGAGATCAAAGCTAAAGAGAGGCAAGAGAAAAGGAAACTTCAGAAGAAAAGGATGTCCCAAGAAAATTCACAGTGAAAGGCTTGGCAGAAGCTTTGTAAACCCCAGCAAACTCCTTCAAAAGTGTGAAAGCGTGGATGGGGCTGGGGCTCAGTGGTAGCGCACTTACCTGGCATGTGTGAGGGCACTGGGTTCGACTCAGCACCACATATAAATAAATAAAATAAAGGTCCATCAACAACTAAAATAAATAAAAAGTTTGAAAGCACAGACCCAACACTGAAAGGTTCTCATTTATAGAGAAGAGTATTATCCACGTGTAAGCAAATCACGATGAAGAAAGAAGCAAACCACCATGCACACAGTTCTGCAGAGTGCCACCTCTTCAAGAGCCTCAGAAGTCCTTCAGGGGTGATTCCAGAGAAGGCGTCTCTGTCAGAGGAGACCGCAGCTCCACAGCTCCCAGTGTGCTGCTGTCCCTAAATACCTTCCAGGGGGACAACATGTGAAGGTAGCAGACTGTGGCAATTATTATCCTGGCCTTGTGTAGGCTAATGTGTGTGTGTGTGTGTGTGTCTTAGTTTTTAACAAAAAAGTTTTTTAAAAATGATTAGTAAGGGCTGGAGGCGTGGCTCAGTGGTAGAGCACTCGCCTGGCCTGTGTGAGGCCCTGGGTTTGATCCTCAGCACCACATATAAGTAAATAAAAAAGATCCATTGACAACTTAAAAAAATTAAAGAATGATTAATAGATGAAAGCTCAGAGAGTAAAGATATAAGGTAAGAAATCTTTTTGTATGGCTGCTATAATGTTTGTTTTCAGCTAAGTGCTATTGCAAACAGAGTGGAAAAGTTTTTAAAGATCTCAAAATTTATGAAGTAAAAAAGTTACAGTGCAGGGGGTGTAGCTCAGTGGTAGGGAATTCCTCTAGCGGATGTGGGGCCCAGGGTTCAATCCCCAGTATCACCAAAAACAGAACAATCCAACAAAAAAAAAAAGGGGGGGGGGGAGTTACAGTAAGCTAAGGTTAATTTGTCAATGAAATGTCTTTATAAAGTTGCTGTGGCCTAGAGTAAATTTGTCAATGAAATGTCTTTATAAAGTTGCTGTGGCCTAGAGTAGAGTGTTTATAAAGTGTACAGTAGTGTACAGTAGGGCATCAGGTCCACTCACTGCACAGTCACTGACTCACCCAGAGGAGCTTCCAGTCCTGCAAACTCCACTCACCCTGAGGGGCCTGGACAAGCTCACCATCTTATTGTCTTTCATACCATAATTTTACTGTAAATTTTCTATTTTTAAATCCCCCAAACACCATTGTGTTACAATTGTCTACAATATTATGTACAGTAACATGCTGAACAGTGTTGTGCCCTAAAAGCAAGACTCTACCCTATAGCCTAGGTATACAGTAGGCTCTACCATCCGGGTTTATGTAAGTATACCCTGTGATGTTGGAACGAGGAGAAAATCAAGTGAGTTCTTAAAACATTTCCTTGTTGTTAAGCTATACATAACTGTGTGTGTGTATGTGTGTGTGTTTGTGTGTGTGCGCACACGTGCATCAAATACATGAAAAATAAATTGGTGACATTAGAGTTTGTCTATTGATTAGTAATTTTAGCCATATATTTAGAGGGTCATTGTTCTAGTTCCGGGTTTGCCTGTGGCCTCGAGTTTGGTGTTTGTCTCCTCCGGAAGGATTAATTTCCCATTGATTTTAACAACTGTCTTTCCTTTTGAATTTTTATTTATTTATTTATTTGTAAGTACCAAGGATTGAACTCGGGGCACTCGACCACTGAGCCACATCCCCAGCCTTATTTTGTATTTTATTTAGAGACAGGGTCTCACTGAGTTGCTTAGTACCTCGCCTTTGCTGAGGCTGGCTTTGAACCTCCTGTCTCAGCCTCCTGAGCCGCTTGGATTACAGGAGTGCGCCACTGCGCCCGGCTCCCTTCTTTTATAGCAGTCCCTGAAAGCTCTCTGGGAGACTGTCCCTGAAAGCCCTCTGGGAGACTGTCAAGATATAAACACATTTTGAAATATGTTTAGGTCCACAGTATATCTGCTCTCTGGGGCCCAGAGGGCAGGCCTCGGGGTGTGCAGCGCTCCTAACAGGAGAACTAAAGGAACCCTAGGTGAGTGCGCGGCGCCCCCGCGTGGCACCTGTTGCAATAACAGTCTGGGTTCTCCCGCTGGGGTCCTGGGCCAGGAGACTTTCCTGCTCTCTCCCTTGGTCTGTGATAGCCCCCCCCCCTTTTTTTCCCACCTTTTAAAAATCACATTTATTTTTATACATTTATATATCACGTATTTCTAAATTTGATACATACCATCACATATCAGGTTTGAGTATTTGTACAGTATGTTTCTATGTTTGGCACGTAAGTTACATTTTAAATATTTTATTGCCTGTAGTATGCCTAGGGTGCTTCTTACTCCAGCCTTAAGCTTTGATTGTATTACCCTTATTGAAATATTTAGAATCTTTTAAGTCGTGATAAAGGCACCTAGGAAGTGGGCCCCCAAGATATGCTAGGCACTTTTACCTACACTTTTTAATTCTCAGTTTGGTCCCCACTTCAACAAGGAGGCTGAGACCAGAGGGGTCAGAAAAGCCCTGGCTATCGGCGTCCTTCATCCACGTCCTGTCCTTCATCCACTCCACCTTAGAGCCTCCCTGTTCCTCTTCCTCCAGTTCCTTGGAATCACAGGGTGACCCAGGTCGTCAGGTGTAGCTTGGGTGTGGGACTTCCAGCGCAGGTGTGTCATCGCCCTCTTCTACTGCACCTGCGTGGCCTGCCCTGCCCAACAGGGGCATTGTTCCCCAAGTGCGACCAGGACACTGGGTCCCGAGTGTGTATGAACCCTCCAAGCGGGCAGTGGACTTTGCTCCCCGGGGACACTGAACTCGCGGCCAGAACCTCCCCCTTCAGGCCGCCCTGTTCCTCCAGCTGCTCCAGGAAGCTCCGCGCCGCGTCCAAATTGTGGCTCATGGCACCATCGGCCCGCAAGGTCCCGTCCAGTAGTTGCGCTCAGCGCTACCAGCCTGTGATAGCCCTTTTGTCGCAATGCTGTCTTCTGATAACCCATCCTTTGGAGGCAGTGGATCCCCTCCTCCTACCCAGGCGCTCAGTCTGCACGCTGGGTCCTTCCTCCCGCACACCCACACCCCCACGCTTCCCAGCCTCATCAGACACCGAAGGTTCCCACGTTATTTTATTACTGTACGCAGAGGCCAGTTAATTCCTCGGGGCGGCCCTCCGCCCTGTGTGTCTGCGTTCTCTGGGATGGGAACCCCGTGGGTCTGCGGTCAATGGGTCCAAGGGTCGCACGCAGCCGCGGGGGATGCCACCACCTCCCCTCCCCAAAGTTGGGCCAGCCGGAGTCCGTGGCCCGCAGCCCCCGGCTGGGAAGGCAGGTCAGGAGGGACCACTCCGCGTGTGGCGTGACAGAAGGCTCCTGGGAAAGGGGCGGCAAGTGACCCCGCCACCACTCTTCTTGGCGGGCGCTGATGGGGAGCTGTGGATTCTACTCCGCGTAGCAGTAGGTCCCGTAGGCCGCCTGCTGGGGTCTGGGGAAGCCGAAGCTGCGCACCCCGGGGTCCGGGAGGCCCCCGCAGCGCGGCCGCGGAGCAGTGATGGGGAAGCGCACGCTGCCGTCCGCCAGCCAGCCGCCGTCGCATTGGTCCAGCCCCGAGAACTTCCAGGCGGCGTAGAGGTGCCCGACCTTGGCTACCACCGCCCCGCGCCGCCGGCACGCCGCGTGCGCTTCAGAGAGCGTCAGTCGCCCAGGCACGAAGAACACCTGGCCTAGGGACCAAACCGGTCACCAGCCGCGGGGAGCGGGGAGGGGCGCTGGCACCAGGATTCAGACCCCCGGGCAGCGGAGCAGGGCGCAGGGCCAGCACCACTCGGGTGGTGGCAGAGAAAGGGTCGCGGCAACCGGATGCAGGTGGGTTTCGGAGCGGGGAAGTAGCCGGGGCGGGCGGGCTGCTGGAGGGACGGCGGAGCCTCGGCAAGGGAGGCCACTGCCGGCGACCCGCGCTTTGCGCCCTGCACTTTCCGCCCCTATTCTTCAGACCCCGTCCCAAGTCCCGGTGGCCGGCTCCCTCCGCCCCTCACCTGCCAGAGCCGAGGTGAAGCAGAAGGCGTCGTAGCGGTCGCGCTTGCGGTCGCGTGGCCCGTAGCTGCGGATGCCCGGCCGCCCTCGGCCGCCGCACGGAGCGCGCGCGGTGAGCACCGGGTAGCGCACGGAGCCCTCCAGCAGCCAGCCCGCGTTACACCAGTCCAGCCCCTCGGTCCACGCTGCGCAGGGCGGAGGGCCGGGGGGAGACAGGCGTCAAGGCACCGGGCTCTCCGGCTGGGCCCCTGGTGACAGCCCGGGGTGGGGTCGGGCGGTGCCGGGGCTTGGCCGCTCACCCTGGTACAGCTGGCTGTAAGTGGCCAGGCGTCCGTCCTGCTCCTCGCACGCCTGCTTCGCCTCGTAGTAATTGAACTGGTACCGGCCGCGGCTGGGTTGGTAGGGAAACACCACACCTGCCGGGGGCCGGGAGTCGGGCGGGGCGACAGGTGGGCGGAGGGGAGAAGAGGGCGGCGCGGCCTGGGGAAGCTGCTTCGAGGACCCGGGAGCGGCGGGTCGGTGCTGGGACGGAGTTCTGGGAGACCCGCGCCAGGCGACCCTGTCCAGGGAGGAGCCAGAAGGCCGCGGAAGGGCCTCACCTTCCAGGCGCAAAGTCAGCGCCACGCTCTCGTCCTCGATGCCGTTGACCAGCTCGCAGCGGTACCGGCCCTCGTCCTCCAGGCGCACGCCCTCGATGACCAGGGAGGCGTCCAGGCGATGGCTCCTACGCATCCTGGCGCGCCCTCCCAGAGGCCCATAGCCCCGGGCGTGCAGTCCGTTGGTGATGAGGATCAGTGTCTCCCGGAGCTCCCCGGGCTCCACTTTGCTCCAGCGTACCTTGTAACTGGGAGGCGAGGCGCCCAGGACGCAGGGTAGCGTGGCCGTGGCCCCACGACGAGAGTGAATGACCTCGTGGATGGGGGGCAGGAGGTAGTGGGGGCCCGGGTGGAATGCTGGGCAGAGGGGGCCACAGTGGCAGGAACCCCCTGATCCTCACTGCCCCAAGTGCCCATGCAGACCCTGCCCCCAGAGACTTTCCCCTGGTCCCCTGACCCTCTCCATTGCCCATTCCCCACTGACTCTCCTAATACCTCTAACAGCGGCCCTTTCCACTCTTCCCTCCCACCCCTGATGTCCACCCCCCAGTGTGTTCCAGGTTCTGGGCTGGGCTGGGGTCTTACCTGAATCCCCCAGGGCTTTGTGGAAGATGGCAAAGGCCCAAGGGAGAAGGAGTCGGCACAGTGCAGGAAGGGTGAGGCTACCTGGCATGATGGGCAGTCCGAAGGCACTGTCTGCAGGGCACAAAAGGGGCATTCCCTAGGACCGGGAGAATGGGATGGGAAAAGAGGAAACCCCTTAGGAATTCCTGGAGGGAGCTATCCAACTGGGAAGCCCAGGGGGCAGAAAAGGAGCTGGTGACAAAAGGAAGGTATGGCGAGTGGAGGGAGTAAGGACCCCACCCACTCTGCCGGAGGGCCATCCCTCTTCCTGGCCCACCTCTCCTCAGTCAGCAGGTCCTGATATAGCATCTCTGTCCTGTCCCATCCCAGGTGCTACTTCCTGAGCGTGCCATCCAGTTGTCATCTCCAGTCTGTCCCCCCCACACCCCTTCTCCATCCCAAATTCAGAATAAATATAACCTTGACATCTCCTGCTTGAAACAGTGGCTCCCCAGTGTCCTGAGGATGAAGTCCAGTCTCCTGACTACAGTTTCCCAGTCTCCCTATGATCCAGTCTCCCCTGCATGTCTGAAATCAACCCCTGTGCTGTCCCTCACCATCCCCCACTCTTCACTGTGCTCCAGACATGCTGGACTTCTGGCAAATTCCAAAGCAGCCCAGTTGAAGGTCACCTCCTTTACACAGGCATCAGTTGGCCCCCACCCCCTCTGGGAAAACTTCTCATTCCCAGTTTGCTATACTGTAGTGCACTGTGATCTAATGTACTGGACTGGGGATTGTTTTTCCTTAGAAGTAATTTTATTAATATCTAACCTAATGGTGTGAATTTGAAAATAATCATGTGCATGTGTAGATTATATAAGTGAGGTTTTCCAGAAGTTATAAAGTATAAAATTAGAAAGCCATAAAAACTATTTCAGGGCTGGGGTTGTGGCTCAGTGGTAGAGAACTTGCCCAGCATACAAGAGGCACTGGGTTTGATCCTCAGCACCACATAAAAATCAATCAATCAGTCCATATATTATTAAAAAACTATTTCAAATGCAATTGTCTATTTTGTCAGAAGATTCCCCCCTTCTTTGTCATATCTATTTTAAATTAGACTGAGGACCCTTTGACCTGGTTTTATTTTTCAAATGTGGCTCTTCCACATCCTAACTGCAGAACTTTAAACAAGTTATTTAACCTCTCTCTGCCTCCTGTCTGCATTAGTAAAATGTGGATAATAATAGTATACCTACCTCACTGAGCAGTAAGTAGATGTGAGGATTTGATGAATTAATATGGTAAATGTAAAGGGTTTAAAGCAGTTCCTGATACAGAATGTGTGTGTGTGTGTGTTTGCGTGCTTTCATCACCATCATCTCCAGTTCTTAGCTCTTGTTTGTGACACACAGTAGGAGTGTCTGTGGGTGTTTTAATGAATGAACTTACGTTAAGGACCTCTGAGAGGAAGAGAGAGGGTATGGGGAGAGAAAGGAAACTTCCTGAAGAGTAGCCAGAAATCTAAAGAACTGAGCTCCATCTTCCTGCAAATGAGGGCCAGACACTAACGTGCTGGAGAAACAGTTTAGTAAGTAAGAAGTAAGAAGTTCCCAGTGATTCAAAGTGAGAGTACTTGCGACAGGATCTGAATGAGAGACCCTCCTGCACTGTTAGGAAAACCTGCTAAATAAGGGTGACCATGGCCAGGTGTAGTGGCACACACCTGTAATTCCAGCAGCTGGGAGGCTGAGGCAGGATTGTGAGTTCAAAGGCAGCCTCAGCAACTTATCAAGGCACTAAACAACTCAGGGAGACCCTGTCTCTAAATAAAATACAAAAAAAGGGCTGGGGATGTGGCTCAGTGGTTAAGTGCTCCTGAGTTCAATTCTCAGTTACCGCCCCCCACCAAAAAAAAAAAAGAGTGACATGAGAACTGACATTGAATCTGGAACCAACTATAATGACAGCTAGCATCAACATCTTAAATGTTCAACATGTATAAAGACATGAATTGGCATGAACATACTTTATACAAAGATATGAAAAATTGTGCTCTATATGTGTAATAAGAATTGTAATACATTCTACTCTCATGTATTTAAAAAAATAAATAAAAAATTAAAAAAGAACTCTGAAATGACTAAAAAAATGTTTAAAGTCAAATATGCCTGACACCACTTCAAGCACTTTGTGTATATACTTATATACATAAGTGTGTATTTCCCCTTCCTAGCAATCCTGTGAGGACAGGAACTAACAAACACCATATGACACATGTTGAAACAAAGGTGCACACTTTTTAAGAAACTTCAGTGTGGTCACATAGTAAGAGGAAGGATCTGCTGGGATTTGAACCCAGATCTGACAAGCTCTTTATCACTGATCTATATTTCTGTATTGTTTAAAAAATATTTTCTTGTCAATAGACATTTATTTATTTATTTATTTATTTATTTATTTATTTATATGTGGTGCTGAAAATCTAACCCAGTACCTCCCACATGCTAGGCAAGTGCTCTACCACCGAGCCACAACCCCAGCCCCATATATTTCTGTAGTTTAAAATGAGTCCACATAGTGTTTTCATGCTTTTGCCGAAAATGACACAGTAGCCAGCAGCCCGATTGCCTACCTGTGAGAAGCTGGTCTCTTCCAGAGACAAAGGGAGCAATGCTCAGCTGCTCTCTGTCCTGCTTAAGGCAGTCCAGTGGGTCCTGGTAAAGGTGTTTCCGGGTCTCTCTGGAAGTCCAAGCACTTTGAAGCCCCAGGGCTTGAGCACTTGACCAACGTGGTTACCCCCTTTATACCTTTGAGAAAGGCTTCATCCCTGTGCTCAAAGAAGAAGAGTGCTGGAAGCTTCTCTCAACCATCAGTCCAGTAAGCCAGGCTAAGTGACCTGTGTCCAGCCCCGTACCTTTATCTGTGGAGCTCACCATCCTGGGACCAGGAGGAGATGATGGGTTTGGGATGAGGGGTGGGAACCAAGAGGGAAGATGGAGTAAAGGGGTCAGCTCAGAAATGATTACCTGGAAGAGTGCAGAAAGCAGGTGCCTTGTTTCTTCTAAACACTCTTGAACCAGAAGGGGGTGGACTGACCAGTGGGTGTGAAGGTGTAGGACCGGTGGGATGGGAATGAGCCCTGAATGTGGCTCACAGATCCATGGCAGTCAAGCTCGGGTCCTCTGCACTGCCATGTGGGTCTCATTTAGGCAGCTCCTCTACTTCGTCCCTGCAAGTCCTCTGCCCACCGCATCTGGGTGTGCATGGCCTTTGGGAAGAGGCTATTAAGGTGAGATGCTTCAAGGAAGCTGACCCCTTCTATCCAGCTCTGCCCTCCCCATCTGTCCATCTGTCTGTCCTTTCCTTCTCTGTTCCCACCCATCCGAAGCACAATTTCCCATTGTCTCTGTCTTTCCCCCTATTGTTGACTAACAGGGCGCCTTTCTTTATGCTGTGGGTAATGGCAACGAAATGTCAACAGCTGGGGATGTGGGATGCAGGACCGGCTGGCACATACCACCGGAAAAAGAGCCTGGGTGGGGGGCGGGCTCGGGACAGGAATTGACATCCAAGGAGAAGAGAATGGGCTGAGGGGGAGAGAACAGGTGGTGAGAAGGTTGAAATGGGGTCTCCCTCAGAATTCCAAGTTGCAAGATTCTGAAAAGATTTTATCTGAGTCCAGGGGAGTGGCCTGCTTCCACAGAGGGCAGAGGAAATAGCTACTATTAATGCAGAGACATAGAAGAGATGGAAATTAGATGAGGAGGAGGACTTTTCTTTCTTCCTTTTTTTTGGGGGGGGTTACCAGGGATTGTACCCAGGGGACTTAGCCACTGAATAAACCACATCCCCAGGGCTTTTTATATTTTATTTAGAGACAGGGTCTCACTAAGGTGCTTAGGACCTTGCTAAATTGCTGAGGCTGGCTTTGAACTTGCAATCCTCCTGCCTCAGCTTCCCAAGCCGCTGGGATTACAAATGTGTGCCAGTGTGCCTGGCTTAAAGTCTTTCTGTTGAGGGATGATTCACATATTCAAAGAGCACACAGATCTTAAGTGTAAGATCAATGACTTTTTTACCTGTGTATACATCATGAACACAGGTAACCCCCTCCAGATCAAGATTCAAAACATTCCGTACAATCCAGAATAAATCCAACTCCTTTTTGTTTGCTATCAAAGCAGATGAAGGACTCCCACTATACATCCCCATTAATAGTTGTTTAGGAAAATTCAGGACTTTAAATTGCTTCTTAGCTTTTTTTTTCTCTGCTGAGCAAACCTACGTCTGTAGCCTTGGGTTTCTAGAACCACACAGTTCCAGAACTGGGGGTCACCTCAGAACAGTGAGCTTCCTCATTTACCAGATGAAGAAGAGATGGGGAAAAGGGTGATTTGTCCCAAACCAGAACTTTCTGCTGTTTTCCACCAATCCCTCTTTGGTTTCTCTTCAAGTCACAAGAGCTCCAGGTTCTCACTTGGACCACACAAGGGCACCCCAGTTATACTCTTCAGGGGTCCAGTTGGCTGTATTCCTTCTGTTCACTCCATCCCTGTCCCCAAGCCTTTCCTTCCTCCTCCCTGGACAGTCTCTCATGAGAGAAGACAAATAGCCCCCTGTCTCCTCGAACAGGACGCCCTGATCCAGTGCATCTGATTGGCTTCTTCCCAGTTCAAAGAGGGAGAGGGAGAGGGACGGGAGGGGAGGACAAATGCTCCCCAGCCTGGATGGTTGTCTGTTTCCCAGGTTCACCCATCCTCCTCCTCTCCTCCAAATCACTTCTTAACTGTGGCTGGAAGTCTTTGGTATGTGAACCCATAAAGGCTGAGCAGGGCAGAGAGGAAGGCCTTGAAGTATTTGATAGACGCAAGAGGAACCCTTTGACGACGTCCAGAAAGGGTCAGTTACTGTTGGAGATCACATAGTAATTAAGTAGCCCAGACAGTTCATCTCCAACGCTAGAGGAGTTCTTCCTTGCCACGAAAGAAGAATCCCTCCAAATGTAGAAGAAGGTGAAATGAGGATTTCTTCGTCTCTCTCCCTCCCTCCCCATTGTGTTTTGTTTTATTTTCTACTGAGCCACCCAACACCCACCCCACTTTTAACATTTTTATTTATTTATTATTTATTTATTTATTTACTTTGGTGCCAGGAATTGAACCTAGGGCTGCTTAACCACTGAGCCACACCCTCAGCCCTTTTTTATTTTTTGTTTGAGACAGGGTCTCACTAAGTTGCTGAGGCTGACCTCCAATTTGTGATCCTCTTGTCTCAGCCTCCCTGGTTGCTTGGATTACAGGTGTACACCATCATGTGGGGGCTTTTTTAAAAAATTTTATTTTAAGGTAGGGTCCTGCTAAGTTGCCCAGACTGGCCTTGAATCAGTGTGGGCAATTTGTGAGCCAGCCTCCCAAATCTCTGGGATTACAGGTGTGCACAGCCCCTCCCAAGTAATTTGAATAAACATAAAAAATGTTAGGCCTAGGGCTGTGGATACAGCTCAATGGTAGAGTGCTCGCCTAGCATGGGAAAAGCCCTGCGCCCCACACAAAAAAAAAAATTTAAAAAGAATCCAAAAAGCCAGGCGCAATGGTACACGCCTACTAATCCCAACTACTCAGGATACTGAGGGAGGAGGAGCACAAGCTCTAGACCAGCCGAATCACCTTAGCAAGACCCTGTCTCAAAACAAAATTAAAAGGGCCGGAGATGTTGCTCAGTCGTACAGAGCCCCTGGGTTAAATCCCCACAAAAATACATATATAAAATAAAATGAAATTAGGGTTGGGGGTGTAGTTTAGTGATAGAGCTTTTGCTTCGCAAGAGCAAGGCCTCGGGTTGGGTTCAATCCCCAGCACCGAAGAAAAAATGAAAATTCCCCTTTAACACCTTGTTATCTATCCTTCCAATCGTGCAAGGCACTTATATATCATATATTTCCATTTCCATACATTATACATATAATTTAAATGGTAACATGCAATACGAAAGAGCGCCAGCAGGTGGAGGAAGAGGGCTGCGTCAGCCGCGCGACGGCCTCTGCAGAGTTCTGGGCGCCACACCCAGTTCCTGTCAGGGATCACCAGATGTTTACGGCAGAGGATGCTCAAATCAAAGACTTCACCGCTCCGACTCAGAGCGCCCCGCGGACCCTTGTTTTTCTTTGTTCAGCTAAGCTCTAGCTGTGGAAGGGGGAGTCCCAATTTCTCAAGATGCTTTGCTTCATGTTTGGGGCAGCAGTGCCAGGAGAAGAATAAGGCCGGGATTCCTTGGTGTCTTTTTTGCCATGGTGGATCCCTTTCCCATCTCTACTCTGGCTGGTGTTGAGATCTTTTCTACAGTCCCTTTCGGATTTTTTTTTTTTTGTACCAGGGATTGAACTCAGGGGCACTTGACCACTGAGCCACATCCCCAGCCCTATTTTGTATTTTATTTAGAGAGACAGGGTCTCACTCAGTTGCATAGCACCTCTCCTTTGCTGAGGCTGGCTTTGAACTCGTGATCCTCGTGTCTCTGCCTCCTAAAAAGCTGGGATTACAGGCCACCACAACTGGCCCCTTACAGAAATTTTTCCAAAGCTTTTTTGTTTTTCTTTCTTGTCTCTCTCTTTCTCTTTTTCTCTCTCTATCTCTCTCCTTGGTACCCAGGATTGAACCCAGGGGTGCTTAACCACTGAGCCACACTCCCAGCCCTTTAATATATATATATATATATTTTAGAGGCAAGGTCTCACTGAGCTGCTTAGTGCCTAGCTAAATTGCTGAGGCTGGCTTTGAACTGGAGATCCTCTTACCTCAGCCTCCTGAGCCACTGGGATTACAGGCCATGTGCCACCATGCCCGGTTTCCACAGCATTTTTGCTGATATTTCTGAAACTATTCCATTTGGATTTAAAAAAAAAAAAAGCACAGGGTGCACACCTATAACCCCAGCTTCTCCAGAAGCTGAAGCAGGAGAATCACAAATTCGAGGATTACATGGGCAATTTATCAAGTTTCTGTCTCAAAATAAAAAGGACTGGGAATGTAGCTCAGTGGCAAAGTGCCCCAGGGTGCAATCCCCAGTAAGGAGATGCAGAGAGAATGAAAAAGAAATAAAAGAAAGCCAGTGTGTTGAAACCCATAGTCCCTAGGACAACTCTAGAAGTCCAGCAAGCACTGCAAAGGAGAGCCAGCCACCAGCGTTTACACAGGCTGGGGTTCCAAGCCCCTTGAGAGAAGTGTGGCCAGGGAAAGGCGAGGCACAACTAGAGGAACAGGACTTAGGGGTCAGAGACAGGTCTTGACCCAGATCCCAGAGAACAGTGGCTCCAAGGGCAGATGACAGCACAGCATCTAAGAGAATAAATAGTGAGCTGAACACACACTGATGGCAGCACTAACGCTGTGAGCACATTTTAGCCCACTTCCTGTCTCTGTGCTCTGCCTGGCCCTCAAGTTACTCATCTACAACTGGAGGCAATTACATAAAATACAGGATAATGGTGAGAATCAAAGAAATCACCCCTCAACATCCACAGGGGATTGGTGTTAGGACCACCTACAGATACCAAAATCTGGATGCTCAAGTTCCTTACATAAAACAGCCTTGTGTTTGCATGTAACTGAGGCACATCCTTTCAAAAACTCTATTGCTGCTGAGCAACATCCCCAGCCCTTTTCATTTTTTTGAGACAGGGCCTCTTAAATTGCTACAGGCCTTGCTAAGTTGCTGAGGCTGGCCTTAAACTTGCAATTTTCCTGCCTCAGTCTCCTAAGAGGCTGGAACTATAGGCGTGGGCCACCAGACCTGGCCCTCCTGTATATTTATTTATTTTTAAAATTTCACATTTTTTTTTAGTTGTAGATGGACACAATACATTTGTTTTGTTTATTTTTATGTGGTGCTGAGGATCAAACTCAATGCCTCACACCTGCCAGGCAAGCTCTCTGTTTTTCTTCTCCGATTTTTTTTTTTGGGGGGGAGGGTACCAGGGATTGAACTCAGGGCACTCAACCACTGATCCACATCCCCAGCCCTATTTTATATTTTATCTAGGGACAGGGTCTCACCAAGTTGCTTAGCACTTCACGGTTGCTGAGGCTGGCTTTGAACTTTCCGTCCTCCTGCCTCAGCCGCCCCAGCTGCTGAGGTTATAGGCATGTGCCACTCAACCTGGCCCCGATATTTTTTATCTGTGCTTGGTTGAATCTGTGGATACAGAGGGGCAATTATATGTTGATGTTTGTGAAAAATGATATTTTAAACTATAAACCACTGTGCAAAAAGTTATTTTATTTATTTAATTTTATTTTCATACTTGAGATCAAAATCACAGGCACTTAACCGCTGAGCCATATCTTCAGCCCTTTTTATTTTTTATTTTGATACAGAGTCTTGCTAAATTGCTGAAGCTGGTCTCCAACTTGAAATCCTCCTGCCTCAGGCTCACAAGTTGCTAGGATTACAGGCGTGTGCCACTGTGCCTGGTAAAAATGATTTTTAAATGGTAAAGCACAGTATGCTAGGAACTATAAAATATTTACTCTCATGAACTCAAATGGTTAATGAATTAGGAAAATTAGAAACTGCCTAAACCGGGGCTGGGATGTGGCTCAAGCCGTATCGCGCTCGCCTGGCGTGCGTGCGGCCCGGGTTCGATCCTCAGCACCACATACAAACAAAGATGTTGTGTCCGCCGAAAACTAATAAATAAGTATTAAAAAAATTAAAAAAAAAAACTGCCTAGACTGAGGATTAGGAAAGATCTTATAAGATCAGGCACACCTTTTTTTTTTTTCCTGAACAGAAAGAAAAGTAAATAACATTCTCTTAGGTAAATATTGCCAGTATTTGTTACACAAGCATTAAAAAAAATCTCACATTGTATTGCAACCACAGATAGTTTCTCTTTCTGCAATTTCAGATCCACTGACGGGAATAAAAATGAGAAGAAGGGGAGGAAGAGAAACGGCACCCTAGGCCATGAGCCATGGAGGTTTTCTGAAATGGAATGCTTTTTATAATTGTTCCTCACCTTTGGCCCATTTCCCTCAGCACTGAGAAACTCTAATTTGTATCCATTTGCTATTTTGAAATTATTATTCCTAATGAAAATAATGCATTAATTGATTTTTTTCGAATGGTACTGGGATCCAATCCAGGTCCTCATTCATGTTAGGCAAGTGCTTTAACACTGAGTTAGCACTCCCAGCCCTGATCGCTGACATTTTTAATTGCAAAGATTACTGTTAAAGAACAAGCTTATTTGTTGATGTTTGTCAAAGCACAGTAAGGCCGACTTTATTCAGGGCCAGAGAGACAGGTTTAGATAGGTCATGGTAATGGAATTCTGCATTGGGGGAGAGGGATTGGGTTAACTCTGAATAGAATAGGGGCAAGTGGAAATTTATAGCCAAGGAGTAGGATGGGTTATAAAGAGAGAATGTGAGGGGTGAGGGGATTCTGGCTAAACCAGCCTAACAAGGTGATCAGGCATCACTTGGGGCTGGTGAAGGATGAAGAACCTGATCAGATATTGAGAGTGATCAGATATGAAGGGGGGGTATTGCTGAATGGATTTAGCAGGGTTCTTTGCTAAAACTGAATTTTATAAAGTGCGTAGATTTGGCTGTGAGAAGCTTCAATAGATTCAATAGCCTGACTCAAGTTTGGCTAAGCAATCATTGTCAATATAAAGAAGGGGGAAAGGGCATGGGGGTGGAGCACAGCATTAGCCTGTTCAAGGGTTCAATCCCCAGTACTCCATACCTGCACCCCTCAGAAGAAAAGAGCAGGCCAGGTGCAATGGCGCACACCTGTAATTCCAGCAGCTTGGAAGGCTGGGGCAGAAGGATCACAAGTTCAAAGCCAGCCTCAGCAACTTAGCAAGGCTCTATGCAACTTAGATTGTTTTAAAATAGAAATGAAAAGGGCTTGGGATGTAGCTCAGTAGTAGAACTTCTGGGTTTAAAAAAAAAAAGAGGAAGAAGAAGCCATAATTTTCCTATACCTAGGAATTCCTTGTTTATAATACACTGATGCTCTTCCCTTGTTATTTTTGTGTGCTTATGGAGAATGGTGCATGCCTGTGAACCCAGCAAATCAGGAGGCTGAGGCAGAAGGATTGCAAGTTTTAGGCCAGTCTGGGCAATTTAGTGAGACTCTTGTCTCAAAGTAAATAAAGCCAGTCATGTGTGTAATCCCAGTGACTCAGGAGGCTGAAGCAGGAGGACTGCAAATTCCAGGCTGCTTCAGCAACTTAGTGAGACCCTGTCTGAAAATAAAAAATGAAAAGGGCTGTGTATGTAGCTCAGTGGGAAAGAACCCCTGGGTTCAATCCCCAGTTTCGGGGGGAGGGGGATCTGGATGGAAAGGAACCATGAAGGCTAAATCATTTGTTTTCAAACCTGACTTTTAATCTTTTAAAATATATATACATACACACACACACACACACACACACCACACACATTTTTTTGTTGTTGTTGTTGGAACTGGGGATGGAACCCAGGGCTTTGCCAATGTGAGGCAACTGCTTGGTGGCGGAGCTATATCCCAGCCCTCACACACACAAATAAGATAATGGGGTAGAATTGGGGGAGGGGTAGTAGAAATTGAAGTCCTATCTGTGGAATTTCTGTGATCCCTGAAATACTATAATAAAACTCACTTTGTGAAAAAGATTGAACCAGTCCAATACTCTAATTGTACATATCAGGGCAAGGGTGCTCTTGATGCTAAGAAGTGATTTGTTCAAGGTCACACAATTAGTAGCAGAGTGAGAAAAGGACTCCCATTCACAGAATGCTCTTCATTTGGATCCCGCTAGAGGAATGTCTTTGTGGCATCCCAGGTTCCTTCTGCAAGCATCTAAATTTCCAATATCCAGGATCCAGAGTTACCATATGTTAAAGTAAAGGTAAGACGGGGAGTGGTGGTGCATGCTGTAACCCCAGGGACTCGGAAGGCTGAGGCAGGAGGATGTAAAGGAGGATCCTAAGTTCAAAGCCAGCCTTAGCAATTGAGAGAGGTCCTGTCTCTAAATAAAAACTAAAAAGGGGCAGAGGACCTAGTTCAGGGGTAGAACATCCCTGGGTTCAACCCACAGACTAAAATAAATAAATAAATAAATCTGTGGGAAAAAACTTCACGGAGGATGAACTAGGTATAGTATTCTAAGCATCGGTGCCAGGCCTAACTGTGAAATGGCTTTTTTTTTTTCTGCTTACAAGTGTCCAGGGGCGTTAAGCCCTCGGAGGACGGATGTGCGGAGGCGGGTGAGGGGCACTTGTCGTCCTCCCTGGGCGGCTCAGGAGACCCGGGGCCGGTGAACACTGGGCACAGCTGCGGTCGGCGGCACGTGCGGCTCCTCCCTCCCTGTTCAAAGACCCCCGTGTCCACAGGGAAGCCCAACGGCCCGGGCAGGCGTGCGGGCGGGATCTCGCGGGCTCGCGTCTCCGCCTCCCCGAGTTCCCCGGAACCGGCAGGTCCTGGCACACCGGGCAGGGTGGGCGGGCACAGAGTGTCCGAGGAACCTACTGACATTTCCAGTCTCAGAATAACTGTTCCCTAAAGCTGAGGTCCATTCCCGTCCAGCACAGCTCGCGGCCACCCCCTGCCGCCCCACGACCTGCTCAAGCCGCCCCCGGCGCAGCCCAAAGCTGTACTCGGCATCCCGCGGGGACTCGGTGACGACGCAGTCCCCTGCCCCTCGTGGCCTGCGGGGAGGAAGCAAGTGGACCATCCAGGGAACCCAGGGCAAGGCACACCCCAGCGCCCAGCGTCCACGACACCGAGCCTCCGAGACGGCTTCCGCAGGACTGGGACCCTAGGGCCCACGGGCGTCTCTATGGTCCCCGCAGCCTAGAAGGACCGGGACGCGATTTCCGGGAAAATGGCGGCGCCCGAGTCAGGCGTGGCACATGTTTCCGCGGAGAGCACCTCTCGAGGCGGGTAAGGCTCCCTTACCCGGGCTAGGAGCGGCTGGGAGGGTAGGAGACTGCAGCAGGAGGTTGGAGGCCGGGGAAGAGCAGCCGGCTCCAGGGCTGCTCTAAGACAGAGGCCCTGCGCCATCTGGGAAGACAGGTTGGGCAGAGAGTGTCCCCAAGCGTGCCCGGCCTTCACGAGGATCGCGGGGCACCCCCGAGACTTAGTTTTCCCCGCACCCATTGGAAGTCCGTTTAAAGCGATCCCCATGCATGTCATTCGGTTCGATAAATGACCCAAAGCATTCTCGATTTCTGGAGAGGCTTTATGTGTCAGGCGAACAAAGCCTGCTTCTGAATTGAGGGCGTGTGGTTTTGAATTGCCAAGACAAGGGTAGACTTGGTAAGCCTTACCGCAGAGAGCAAGAGGGGCTGTAAGGAACCGAAGAGCTAGTGGTTAAGAACAACAGTTCTGGAGTTGCCCACTACCGATCCTGCATCCACTCCTCGCTAGCTATTTGATTTGGGCAATAGCGTGTCTGTTTGCTTTTTTTTTTTTTTTCAGTTGTAGATGGACACAACATCTTTATTTTTATGTAGTGCTGAGAATCAAACCCAGGGCGTGCGAAGCAAGCGCTCGCTCTACCACTGAGCCACAACCCCAGCCCCCTGTTTGCTTTTTTTTTTTTTTTTTTAATTACTGATAACGCCTCCTAATGTCGTTGTTGATCAGTTGAAATGTGATAATCCATGTGAAGTAGTTAACAACAGGCTGGTACAGAGTAAATGGGCAATGTGTAAAATATGATTGTTGAAATCTGGGGATTGATCAGAGATGACTTCTGAAAGGAGATTGTTTTGAGGTGGCCTAAAAGGCTTCAGCATTTGAATTTTACTTGTCTTAGAGTATCAAGAAACAAGATAGAGCAATTTCTTTACTTAAAACTTCCTGTCGAAGCTCACAAGGTAGCAGCTATGGTTTCAGGTTATCATCTTTCACAGTAGAAATGTGAAGCATCCTGAATTTGTACTGGGGACTGCTCACCATTTTTCTTCTTTTTTTAATGTTTAATGGAAAATGCTTAGAGCAATGCATGTTTATACGTGGATTAGAAAAAAATGGCAGAATCCCCAGGGTTCTTCTGCTGGGATGGAAGAGGGGGGATAAGAGATTCACAAAAACCCCCTTAGATAGAAACTGCCCCTAAATATTTCCAAACAAGCATACAAAACAGGCCAACAGTCTCCTGCTCACCATTCTTAAATCTAACATATTATGTTTAGGAGGAGTGGCTGTCATGGTGTGTCTCATTTTTTTTTAAAAAAAGATACTTACTATGTCTTCTTAAACAAAAGTTTTCCCTTAAGAGTTGTCACTTTGGAGACTGGGGTTATGGCTTAGTGGTAGAGGGCTTGCCTAGCACATGTGAGGCACTGGATTCAATCCTCAGCACCGTATAGAAAAGTAAACTCATAAAATAAAGTTGAAAAAAAAAAGTTGTCACTTTGGGGGCTAGTCGTTAGTAGAGCACTTGCCTAGCATGTGTGAGGCATTGGGTTCGATCCTCAGCACCACATAAAAATAAAAAAAAAAAACAAAATAAAGGTATCGTGTCCATCTACAATAACAACAAAAAAGAGTTGTCACTTTGGGAGGGTATGAATTACCCTGAGTTATTCTTGACAATCATCTGCAATAAATGAAATGTCTATAATAAATGAAATGTCTGCAGATATTAGCACAAGTTAACTGTGAGTCAGCATTGATAATCTTAGTTTTCAATGTCTTATGTGATAAGACACTTTAACCATTTCAGAGACAAATTTACATATAAGTTTGATAATACCATTCTGGGTTCAAATAGAACAACATGAGTTACTGTAAAGAAATGCCTCTAGTTGATGGAGTGATAGGGAACCATTCTGGAGTCAGGCTGATTGGGCTATTATTCCATTTTCATCAGCTGTGTGCTCGGGCAAGAAACTCATAAAGGAAGCATAACTTATCTCGGAATTGTCAAGATTATATGACAATATGTGTAATCTACCTGTTAAGCATTAAATGCTCAGTATGAGTGTCCTTCTAAGCCAGGCATGGTGGTGCATGTCTATAATCCCAGCGATTTAGGAGGATCACCAATTCAAAGCCGCCTCAGTAATTTAGTGAGGCTGATGAAACTCAGTGAGACCTTGCCTCTAAATAAAATATAAGGGCTAGGATGTGGCTCAATGGTCAAGTGCCCTGGGGTTCAGTTCCTCAGAGTGCCCTTCTAAGCTGGACATTTTCAGAAGGGGAGCTCCACCAAGGCAGACACAGCAGCACCGTGGGGAAAGTGTAGCTCCTTACCAATAGGACTGTGTAAATGCTGTGACATAGTAGAGAATGTAGGCTTTCCTAACTATTACCTTAAAACTCAGGTTGATAAGGACCTTATAGCTTTATTTTTATAGGATAATAAATTTTGGGAGATGGTATATATGGTGGCAGAGAGTGTGGACTCTGCAGACAAGCTGTTTGATTTGAATTTTGCACACATTCCTGTGTGACCTTAAGCAAGTTACCTAACCTCTTTTGTAAAATAGAGATGTTTGTTTATATTGGTACTGGGGATTGAACCCAGGGGTACTTAACCACTGAGTCATATCCCAGCCCTTTTTAGTTTTTATTTTGAGACAGGGTTTTATTAAGTTGATTAGGGACTCACTGACTAGCTGAGGCTTGCTTTGAAGTTGTGATCCTCCTGCCTCAGCCTCCTGAGTCACTGGGATTACAAGTGTGAGCCACTGTGCCCAGCTAAAATAGAGATCATTATAATACTTTCCTGAATCCACATTCAGGAAAGCATTAGCATACCTTTGTGGTGAACTCTCCATAAATCTAGGCATTAGTGTTAACACCATTCCTTCTTGAGTCTGAGATATGTTGGTGTTGGACAGTCAGGGAGCTCCCCAGGAGCAGTCAGGAAGAAACAGGCCCTCCTTCCTGTCTCTCCTGAGGGCTCAGGAAAGAGAATTCTTACAAGAGCAGCCAGAGTAGGGTTCATTCTGCCACGCGACCAGCGCAAGCTTCATAAAAGAAGGTTCGATGCATAAGAAATTGCTAGTGAGTTTTAAATTAAAGAGACAGACTCTCATTTACCTTTAACTCCAGCTCATGAGACGGCTTCTCCTAGCTCCTGCCTCCATCCACCTAATGCGGTGGCGAGGTTTACAGAAGAGACAAATGAGAGAGGGAGAGCATGCCAGGGAGTGAGCTTTTTTGGGGGAACAAAAAATTCAAGGGAAAATCCCATCCAATGAAGGTTAAGGGGGGGCAGCATCCCAAGGTCAGGGCTGGCGATTGGGTCTTCAGGTCAGTGGCCAGGCATGCCTCTGCACAGACAAGCCCTCGGACCTGGGAAAGGGTGTGGGATGGCTTTTACACCGCTGTGTCCAAGCGCCTCTCACCCAGCCTGGGAGGTAACTCATTCACGTGCGAGGATGGCCTCCCACAGTTCATGGCTGCTATGGGCACTTTCTTCTTTCCTCTTAAAAGGATGATGTCATTTCTCCTCCTCTGGTGAAAGCCAAGCCTCTTTGCCCACCATGAGCATCACCCCAGAGGTCAAGAGTCGTGGGATGAAGTTTGCTGAGGAGCAGCTGCTAAAGCATGGATGGACTCAAGGTTATCCCCATGGAGCCTCTTCCATAATCCCCAACTCCCTGCCCACCTTCTGCCTTGGGGAGAGGCCTCCTGGATTACCCACTGTAGTCCTTTAGTTAGAGGAAAAGGTAGTTTAAAGGAAAATTTTACAGAAGAATAAGTTTTCTGATTTATTCAAAAGAGAGAAGAATGGGGAAAATTTGACAGTGGATAACAAGGAAGAAGAAGTGGTTGGGAGGACCCAGGGAGGGAGGGAGGGACCTGGACTCTGTCCCTGAAGAGTCAGGGTAGAAGGTTAGCTTAGGTTTAGACACAGTGGGAATGCATAGAGTGGCACTAGAAAGAATGAGACTAGAAGTCCTTCTAAAAGGGATAAAGTATACCCAAATGCTAAGGTGTACAATGGCAAGGAGTGATATGTGTGGAGTGGCTGGTGGCTCAAGGCAGGCTGCAGAATAAGCCAAGTTATTCACTGTTCTCTGCAGGCAAAGGACTAGGCCGGAAGGAAAATGGCATCACCCAGGCCATCAAGGTGACTCTGAAGCAAGATACTCATGGGGTAAGACTGGGCAGGCTGGTCAGCATGGACGAGAGAGGGGACCCTTGAGGGCTTGATGGACAGGTACTCAAGGTTCATACTTATTCCCCTGGCAGGTGGGACATGATCCTGCCAAGGAGTTCACAAACCACTGGTGGAATGAGCTTTTCAACAAGACTGCAGCCAACTTGGTAGTAGAAACTGGGCAGGTATGAGCTCTGATAGGCAGGCACAGGAAATGGAGGGCCTGAGACACGGTGGGAAGGGAACATATGGTATGCCACCTACTCACTTATACCTTCCTGCAGGACGGAGTGCAGATAAGACGCCTTTCCAAGGAGACCACTCATAATCGTCCCAAGCCTAACATGCTGTATCAGAAGTTCGTGAAGGTATTAGAGGCTGGGGTGAGAGGGCCATCCTTTTTGCCTTCCTGGCTTCTCTTGGAGCCTGAGCAATTGCTTTGTGTGCCTTACCGATTATCAGGACCATCCATAACCTAGTATGATCCTGTGCTCATCTTTCTGGGTTAACTTAGACTGCCCAAGTTCTTAGTAAGAACGGAGATCTTCAGAGCTGGGTGAGTGGCACATGCCTGTAATCTCAGCAACCTGGGAGGGTGAGGCAGGAGGATCATAAGTTCTAGGCTTGCCCCGGCAACTTAGCAAAACCTATGTCAAAAAACAAAAAGGGCCAGGGAGGTAACCTAGAGTGCGCCTGAATTCAATCCAGTACTAACACCCACACATACAAATATTAACAATATAGCGGGGATATAGCTCAGTGGCAGAATGCTTGCCTAGCGTGTGAGAGATGCTGGGTTCAATCCCCAATACTGCAAATATACAGATCTTCGGCTGCATGGATCCCTGCCAGTCACTGGGGGAGGAGTAATAGGGAATGGAGGGTAGGGTCCAGATGGTGGCATCTGTGTCTATTCAAAGGACTTAGAAGGTAAAGGGGACCTAAGAATTTATCTAGTCCATCCTTATTTTGCATATGTGGCTAAATGGGTGAAAAGTAACTTGCCAAAGAGCCCAGTTGGCTAGTAACAGCAAATAGGACCAGAACCCAGGTGTTTGGTCTCTTTAATTTTATTTATTTTTTAGTTGTAGAGTTGTAGTTGGACACAATACCTTTATTTTATTTGTTTATTTTTGTGTGGTGCTGAGGGTTGAACGTAGGGCCTTGCACATGGTAGGCGAGCACTCTACCTCTGAGCCACAACCCCAACCCTAGTCTACTTTTTTTTTTTTTTTGCACTGGGGATAGAATTCAGAGGTTCTTTACACTGAGTACATCCCCAGCCTCTTTATTTCTTTTTTGAGACATGGTATTGCTCAGTTGCTTAAAGCCTCACTAAATTGCTGAGGCTGACCTTGAACTTATGATTCTCCTGCTTCGGCCTCCTGAGTTACTGAAATTACAGGTGCACACCACCACGCCCAGCTGGTTTGATTTTACTGTACCAGTAGAAGGGAGCTAACATTGAATGGCTATTATGTGCTGAGGGCTTTGCATATTACCTAGCAGATCTTTCCACTCTCTGTTTCTCTCTGTTGTTGTACTACTCCAGTTCATGTCATGGTCACTTCTTTAACAGCCTCCTCACCCCTAGTCTCGCTCCCCACCCCAATCACTTTACCCTCTACAAAACATCCAGGATGTGGGCTCTAGAACAACTTTCAGCATGTCACCAACTCTTCTTGGACTGGGATGGTGCGGTCCAGGTTTATCTGGCTGTGTACATGGCCCTTCATGCCTTGTCCCTGCCTTTTCTCCAGCCCCACGTCTTGCCAGTTCCTCGAGGACAGTTACACTTTAGCCAACTAGAATGTTTCTTTTCTTTGAAGATACTGTGTTCTTCCACCTGCAGGTTTTTGCACGTACTATTCCCTCTGCCAGGCGTATTCTCCTTTTGCTGATTTTCTTGTCTTCTAGACTACTCATCAGTTACTTTTAGAAACCCCTCCCAAGCCCTTAAGTCTGACTTGGGCCCCCCTCTTCTACCAGAGGTAGCATTTCCATCATAATTGCCTATGTTGGACTGTATTTCTTATCCCTTTCCCTATAGCTCCACCTGGGCTGGACCCTTCTCATTTTTATTCAACTTTGTATCCCCAGCTCCTTGGCCCATTGTAGCTTCTCAGTTAATCTAATTAAATGAAGGTGCCGTGAGTCGGTATTGGGTGGGGGTGGGTGGATGCCATCTTTATTGTCAGTTGTTGGCACCTGTTCTGTAACGGTCTGATGACCCAGAGCACTCCCTTCCTGTCTGTTCTGCCTACCAGCCAGCTATGAGCCTAAGGTTGCTTGCTTCCAGCAGCTGCAGTCCACCTTCTGCCAGGTTGAAGTATACAGGCCCCCGTGCCTGTGGCTCTGCAAGGAGCAAGTTGGGGGCTGGCAAATTCCTGCCTAGGCTATGAATTCCTGGGAGGCTTCCACAAAGGAAGAGGGGTGGTAGTGGTGTTGAGTGGGCCATGTGCACGCACTTCATCCCTCCTAGACGGCCACGCTGACTTCAGGTGGAGAGAAGCCAGACAGAAACTTGGAGAGCAGCAGTGATGACGACAGCCAGGGGCCCAGACCCCCAAAGATGTGAGAGTCCACTTTAGCATGGTGGGCGGGGGTTGGGGAGGGAGAAAGAGCCGAGTCCAGTGCCTGCCTGGGTTTCTTGGGGGTGGAATTGGGTTGTATTAATTAGTATGTCCTTAGCACTTCAGAAAGTGCCAGGTCTTGGGCCTGGGTTGTGGCTCAGAGGTAGAGCACTTGCCTACCATGTGTGGGACGCTGGGTTCAATCCTCAGCACTACATAAAAATAACATAGAGATATTGTGTCCACCTATAACTAAAAAGTAAATATTAAAAAAAAAAAAGTGCCAGGTCTTGAACAAAAATCTCAGTGTTAAACATTTTAGAGGGAAGGAGAGGTCAAGCCTTTCTGCCAATCTGTAACTCCTCATCTGCCCCCAGCCTGACTGATGAGATGCTGCTCCAGGCCTGCGAGGGGCGAACAGCACACAAGTAAGTAGTAGTCACTTCTGGGCTCCCTTCCTTTCTGCCTATCAAGCCTGTGCTACCTTTTGATTATTTCTACCCCAAAGAAATAATTCTTGCTGTCTACCCATATGCTGCCTGAAAATAGGTAGTTCTCTGTCCCCAAGCCCCAACTTTCCCTGCAGGCTTAAGGATAGGCCCAACTCCCAATACCCTTGCTGACACTGTCTGTTTCAGGGCTGCGCGTCTTGGGATCACAATGAAGGCCAAGCTTGCTCGGCTAGAGGCCCAGGAGCAGGCCTTCCTGGCTCATCTTAAAGGCCAGGTCTCTGAGGCCTCTCAGCCACAGTCTGAAAGCCAGCCTCCCAACCCCCCCAAAAAGAAAAGGAAACAGAAAGAGCCTAGAGCAACTGAGCAGAGTGTGGATGAGGAGCACCCAGAACACACTGAGCACAGCACCAGGAAAAGCAAAAAGAAGAAAAGACGACATCAAGAAGAAGAGGTCTCAGATGAGAGAGGGAGTGGAGAGGACGAGGCCGCGGGGCCCAGTGGGCTCGAAGAACCCGGGAGCAGAGAGCAAGCCCGTCAGTCTCTTAAGAAAAGGAAGAAGAAGAGGAGGCAGCACCGTGAAGGGGAGGAGGGAGAGGAAGAGACGGGGGTGTTGGGTGGAGAAGGAAGAGGGAAGGATCCTGCAAGTGGTGTCGGGAGAAAGGAGGTGACGAGCAGAGCGCACAGGGACCCCTGCCGCAGAGACAAGAAAAAGAAAAAGCAGCAGTGGCATGAGGAGGACTTGAGCGTGGCTGATGGGGATGGGGGGGAGACTGCTCCAGAGGGTGCAGCCAGGGAAGCAGGTAGCTCGCCCTGCGGTAACAGAAGCAAGAAGAAGAGACAGCAGTGCAGGAAAGAGGAGGAGGTCTCGGAGGTAAGCTGTGAGGGTGACAATGACAGGACTGAGGAAATAGAGAACAGAGGTAAGAAGAGGAGGAGGCAACAACTCAGGGAGGAGAGAAGGCGAGTCAGCACTGACCAGAGCACCACAAAGAAGAAACAGAAGAAGAGAGACTGAAGGCCTCTCAAGCTGGAGTCAGTTCCTTTTCAGCTGTAGCCTCCGAGACCATGGTCAGCATCCTACAGGAGGAACCCCTCCCAAAGAGGAAACTGAGCTCAGGGACAACAGTCTCCTGCTGGAGACAAGTGCTGCGTCTTAGTCAAGGGAGTGGACGTGGTCTCTCCTACTCTCCCTGCAGCCTCCAACCCAGAGACATGAACTCAAGTGCCTCCTGGAGCCAGGCAGCTAAGGAACAAGGTAGACAGGGGCAGTGGGAACAGGAATATAGACAGGCGCATCCCTACCAAAATACGCCAAAATGCAGACTTATGGGAAAGGTCTTGGCTTTTAAATATCATGAAGGCTAAGAAAAACACAAATTTGGGGTTATGGGCTATATTCAGCTCATAGGTTGCTTGTTTCTAACACTATACCAATTGATTATAAATAAATATGAACTTGAGCTCCCAGCCTACAGGTACATACAAATTGGCATCTTTAATTCCAGCCTTGGAAGGTCCTGAATACAAGGTGTGGTACACACAACTAGAATCCCAGTTGAGGCAGAAGGATCACAAGTTCAAGTTGGACCCTTTCTCAAACTAAAAACGGGTGGGGATCTGATCAGTAGTAGAATGCTTGTGTAGCATGTTAGAGGCTTTGGGTTCAATCCCCAGTACCACAAAAAAGAAAAAGAAATTTCCTTGAAGTCTTGAAGAAATTCCTTCTGTTAACCTCCTGGAGTCTTGCTGCATTAATGTAAATGGAAGTAGCTTAAAGACAGCATTCAGCTCGCTGTCTCAAATGGATAAGTGTCACTTGTGTATGAAAAACAGCACATCTGACTTGACAACTAGTTAATTATCATTTTTTTCTACATGCCACATGACCTCTCTTGCCTGTTCTGTTCCCCCAGAGGCAATACCACCACCCATTAATCTTTACATCCAGAAGAGCTCCCAGGACAACAGTTCTGGGAAAGGCACTAAGTCTTTATTGAGGAGAATTCCCACCCACCTGCCTCACTGGAGGCGGTAGACGCATTCAGTGTCCGGGTAGGATGGCAGGTTCAGCTGATACTTCTTTTCCAGAGCAGGTGGTACAAAACGACCTCCCAAGTAATGGTAGCGACCAGTGAACTGGGTAGCAGACTTTTTAGGTGCTGTCAGAGAGATGAGCAAGTCTGGCTGGATCCCTCCAGAGTTTCCCTTCTCCACATCCCATCCTGAAAAGAGGGTGATGCTCAGAAGTGTGGAAGAGGCCATAGGTCTAGTCCCCTTCTTCACTTCACTTTACCCTAGTCTTTTTTTTTTTTTAATTTAGTTGTAATTGGACACAATACCTTTATTTATTTTTTTGCTGAGGATCAAACCCAGGACCTCGCACACGCTAGGCTAGTGCTCCACCGGTGAGCTCCAGCCCCAGCCCGATTTACCCTAGTCTTAAGGACTGGGATGCCCCTTCAGTCCTTGCTGGAGGAACTGTCACCATAGGAGCTCCAGATACCTCTGGGCTTTGTTTTCTTCATGGGGCCAGCATGTAACTCCTCCTCAGCCCTAAAAAATGTGGGACCTGGAAAGCTGTGTTCAACCCCTCTACACTCGTCATTTTAGACCTGGTTGGAGCTCTGGCTCAACAATCAGGATTCCAAGGTACCTGCTTTGCGACAGAGGGTAGAGCCCCAATTCCCCCAACCTTCTGGGTCCCAGCACCTGAGGGAATGTCGATGCTGGCAATCGGCACAGTGAGTCCACTGAGGACACTCAGGATGCTGCGGAATGGCTCCCGAACATCACCCTTGAAGCTGAAGCCAAAGATGGCATCCACCACCAACTCGTACAGCTCATCAATCATCATGGGCTGTGATGGAGCAGGAAAAGGCAAGGATGTCAGACCAGCAGCCTTAACTGGAGAGGGTTAACTGGGGAGGGCTATCTTCTGTACCCACAGAGCACTCAGAGGCACAGAAACTATCTCACTCAAAGCCATCTTTTTTTTTTTTTCTTGGCACTAGGAATTGAACCTTGGGGTGCTTTAACATTGAGCTACCTCTCCAGCCCTATTTATTTATATCAGAGATTGAAACCAGAGGCATTTAACTACTGAGCCACATTCCCCAGTCCTTTCACTTATTTATAAATATATTTTTTTAATTGTAGGTGGACACAATTCCTTTATTTTTATGTGGTGCTGAGGATCAAACCCAGTGCCTGACACATGCCAGGCGAGCCCCCCCAGGCCCAGTCCCTTTTTTATTTTTTGAGACAGGGTCTCACCAAGTTGCATAGGACCCTTGCTAAATTGCTGAGGCTGGCTTTGAACTTGGGATCCTCCTGCCTTATTATTCCAAGCCACTGGAATTACAGGCATTTGCCACAATGCCCTGCTTGTTTAATTTTTTTTGGAGGGGGGGGTACCAGGGATTGAACTCAGGGCACTTGGCCACTGAGCCACATCCCCAGCCCTATTTGGTATTTTATTTAGAGACAGGGTCTCACTTGAGTTGCTTAGTGCCTCACCATTGCTGAGTCTGGCTTTGAACTCGCAATCCTCCTGTCTTAGCCTCCCAAGGTGCTGGGATTATAGGAGTGCACCAACAAAGGGCATACTAGAGAAAGGGGGGCATGGCTGCGGATTCAAGCCAAGCTGAATTCACACACATTTTCTGTTCTGAGTGCTTGCCACTGGAGAGGCTACAGTGCAGAAGAGCCCAGGACAGAATCAGGAGGGCTCAATTTCTGGTCTCAGCTCTGCCATGATTCAATTCTGTGATTTTGGCAAACCACTTAACTGCAACTCTGTATCCTTGTCTGCAAAATGTGTTAAGAGTTTTTCTAATAAAAAACTCATGCATCTGCAGAAAAGATTTAGAGTGAGGCAGTTACTCCAACTAGAGAGGGACAAATCATGTTTACAGCATGTGAGGGGAAGAGGATCTGACTACAGAGGGACTGGGGAAGAAAGCTGTAAAAAGTGGTGGCATTGGGGACTCATGAGAACATCTTGTGGAGGAGGAGGGGCTACCACTTCTATTCAAATAGCATCCTTTAGGCATCTTCTGTGCTGGGACTGGGTAAGTGAGCTCCGCCTGGAAATGGGCAGAAAGCAGAGCCTGGAGTGGTTACTGGGGAGATGGGCTATTGAATGAAGCCACCTACCTCTGGGGGCATTTCACCAAGGAAAGGGATGTCCATTTTCTGGCACTGAGTCACCAGTGCAGTGAAGAGTGGTTTGTTGGGCCTTTTGGGGTAATAGATGGTTGGCTGGTAACCCTAAATGCAAAGGGAAGTGGCAATTTAACTTCAGATCCCAGAACCCTAAAGCCCTCCCCCAGGGCTCCTCCCCACATACTCACAAAGAGTTTGAGATGTCTAGCGCAGACCAAACCATCTCCTCCGTTATTGCCGGGGCCACAGATGACCAGGACAGTAGGGGGGTTCCTGGCCATGGACGAGGAGGGATATGCCTGAAGGCAGAGTCAAAGGGTTTTCAGGCAGTAACAGACCAGTTGGGCCAGCTCCTATACTTTATGCTCAGGAGTGTGGCCACCTCCTTGCTCCTCCTGGAGATCGCGGGTTGTGCCACTGACCTTGGCAATGGCTGTAGCGCAGCTCAGCCCAGCCAGCTCCATAAGTTGGTCCACGCTGAACTGGTACTCGTTGAACAACTCCTGGTCCACGGCCTGGGCCTCCTCCTGGCTGAGGGAAGCGCTAACCTGAGATCCTGCCCTCGGGTGTCACGAGGCGCCGGGCCCGAGGACAGCCGTCCACCGCGTGCCCGCCCCCGGCCTCGCCTACCTCAGGTACTTTACCGCGGTGCTCGCCATGGCCTCTGAGTCCCGGGGCCCACCCACGCTCAGCCGCTGCGTTCCCCACCACGTGGGGCCCGCGCGGCAGGCGCCGGCCTGACTTCTGACTCGAGGCAGGCGTGAGCCGGCAACCAGCAGCCCGAAGCCCAGCAGCGCCCGCAGCCCCGACATCAGCTCGCAGGCGCGCGCGCCTCCGGCCCGGCCCAGTTCCGGCGCATGCGCGGCGCTCCTCCCACCCGAGGCCGGGCCGCCGCGCAGGCTCCGGAAGCTCCTTAGCTGCTGGCGGCGGGCGGCGCGCGGAGCTCTGCGCTCCGGCCGCTCTGCCCCGGGCCGCGGGATTCGGGTCCGCCCCGCCCGAGGCCGGCCTCCCGTGCGCCCTCTGTGACGGCCGGAGCCCAGCCCTTCCCGAGAGCGTGGACTCGTCTCCTACTCGTAGACGTACTGAAGGCCTCGGGGAGTGACCCGCGATTCTCCAGCTCTGCCTGGCTGTGAGCGCGGCGGCCGCTGGACCTGCTGGGGGGACTTGGGCCTCCTGGTGGCGGGGCCGCAGACACACACCAGGGAAGGGAGGGCCTGCATCCAAAGCCAGGCGAGGGCCCTCCGGGACTGCCCGACACGACAATAAGCTCATGTTCATATTTACCTAATCTAGGAACCCCCTCCGAGGTGGGTTAGTTCCCACCTCGGTTCCTACCAGAACATCACGCCGTTCTTCTCTACTATAAATCCTAAATAGGTTAAAGATGTCATTGAAACCAGAGGTTCCCAGGTCACGCGATGTTCCATTAGGAACCTTGAGGAGAATAAGTTTTATGCAAGTACTTTTATTTACTTATTTGCAATACTAGGGACTGAACCCTGGGCCTCGCACATACTGGACACCCTACCACTGAGCTTATATCTTCAACCCTTTATTTTTTTCTTAATTTCATTTTCAGATAGGGTCTCGCTGAATTGCCCAAGTTGGTCTTTTGTAATCCTGTCTCAGCCTCCGGAGTAGCTGGTGTTACAGGTGCACATTGGCTATCCAAGTACTTTATTTTTGGGGGGATTGAACCCAGGGGCACTTAACCTCTGAACCACATTCCTAGCCCGTTGTTTTTAACTTAGAGACAGGGTAGCGTCTCTTAGTTGCTCAGGGCTTTGAACTTGTGATCTTCCTACCTCAGCCTCCTGAGTTGCTGGGATTACAGGCATGCACCACCACACCCTGCTATTTGAGTGCTTTTGAGAATGCAAACAGTGCTGCATGGGTAAGAAGCTGGGGAGTGTACTCCCTGTGAATTCGTTCGGGGTACACCAAAAAGCCTCGAAGGGTGACAGAATATGCCACCTCAAGATATGCCACTTTGGCATAGGATTATTTTGAATTAAAGTCACCGGAAAAACAGTAAGAATAGAAGGCATTCTTACCTCCCCTTTTCTTCTTGTACCAGGGATCGAACCTAGTGGTGCTTTACCACTGAGCTACATCCCCGCCCCGCCCCCCCTTTTTTTGAGACAGGGCATTGCTGGGATTACAGGCATGCATCACTGCCTGCAGCTCTCCTTTCCTTCTTTTTTTTTTTTAATATTTTTTTAGTTGTATGTAGACACAACACCTTTATTTTATTTATTTATATGTGGTGCTGAGGATTGAACCCAGGGCCTCTCATGTGTTAGGCAAGCGCTGCACGGCTGAGCCACAACCCCAGCCCTCTCCTTTCCTTCTTGAAAGCAGGAGAAATAAGATTCTCATGTGAAAGACATGCTGCCTGTACTAGGAGGAAAGAAATATTCTTATTCCTGAAGAGGAGAACAGAGGTTAAGAACTCTGTACAAACTCTGTTAAAATTCGACAGTGTTATCTTCCTCTAGCCTCCATATATATTTTAGTTGATTTTCCACAATTTCTTCCCTTTTTTCAACCTAAAACATTTAGGTTTTGCTGCTTTTTTGAGTTGTTCCTTTTGTTATGATATGAGGGGCCCTGGTCACAAAATTTATATTAAATATATTTGTATGTGTTTCTCTTTAACCTGTTTTACATCAACTTAATTCTCAGGCACAGTCAGAGCCTCCAAGGAGAGTAGAGGTTAAGTTTTGCCTCTCCTACACCCTCTTATCAAATATGATCAGGATTGAATTATCTCATTTCAGCTTAAAACACAAAACACATTCATTTGCTTCTTGTCAAACTGGGACCCAAGTCTTTTCTCTGAGGTTAGGGCCCCTTTTTTCTTTTTCTTTTTTTTTTTTTTTAAAGAGAGAGGGAGAGAGAGAGAGAGGGGGGGAGAGAGAGAGGGGGGGGAGAGAGAGAGAGAATTTTTTAATATTTATTTTTTCAGTTCTTGGCTGACACAACATCTTTGTTTGTATGTGGTGCTGAGGATCGAACCCGGGCCGCACGCATGCCAGGCGAGCGCGCTACCGCTTGAGCCACATCCCCAGCCCCCCCCTTTTTTCTTACATAAACCTCACGCAGTTACTTATTACCTGCAATTTCCAGTTTTCTTCCTTAAAATGAATCAATTAATGGGCATGTCTGAAGCAATCCAAATGCAGAATTCATCTAGAGTCTTATGATTTCCTCCCAATTTGTAATAATTTCCTTGTTCAAGTCTAATTTCAACAGCAGCTTTTAAAAGTGACTCACCTTAATCAGTTCTTTTAAGGATCCAACTTAGTTTTTGTAGAAACACTGCTTGTTTTCACACTTAGTTAAATATTGTATAAATTGATGAACTAAGTTATATATTATAATAAAACAACCATCATGAGCACATTGGAATAAATCACTGGCTGGTGATGTGGCTCAGTGGTAGAGCGCTTACTTAGGATGTACAGTCCCAATCCCTAGTACTGCATGCATAAATAAACAAATAAAATAAATCACACCAGACAGCAAGCACCTAAGTTTGAATCCTGCCTTCTCCACATACGGCTTGTGTGACCTGGAAATTCCCCTTTGAGATTTCTTTTTCCTATCGGTGAAAGGGGATAATAATAGCACCTCATAAATTTTGTTGTAAGGAGAAAACACTAGTAAAGCACTTAGTATATGGGACATGTGCTAAGTACTCAATAAATGTTAATAATGTCATTGCTAGCCGGGCACAGTGGCACACACCTGCAACCCTAGTGGCTCGGGAGGCTGAGGCAGGAGGGTCACAAGTTCAGAGCCAGCCTCAGCAACCAGGAGGCACTAAGCAACTCAGTGAAACCCTGTCTCTAAATAAAATACAAAATAGGGCTGAGGATGTGTCTCAGTGGTCAAATGTCCCCGAGTTCAATCCCCAATGACCCCAAATAAATAGTGTCATTGCTATTGCCCTGGCTGGCAGCTGGCCTTGTCCTACAGGCTGTGGGCCTGAGAAAGCAGTGAACAGAGGTCTGGGTCGGTTAGTGTAAGGTCTTCTGTAGCATTACATCTCCATTTCCCATCTGAGAAAAGAAGGTCTGCAGAAAGTCAGTGACTTCAAAACCACCTGACCAAGAAGTCAGAGTTTTATTGGTTGATTGTTCCTGTGTTGAGCCCACGGGTGCTTTACTACTGAGCTATATCCACAGCCCTTTTTAGTTTCTATTTTGAGACAGTTTCACCATGTTACCCAGGCTGGCCTTGAACTTGTTATCTTCTTGTCTCAACCTCCCAAGTCTCTGGGATTACAGGCGTATGCTGCTGTACCTAGCAAGAAGTCAATAGTTTTTAGAACTGGCAAGGGCTTTAGCAATCATGAGGTCTGGACTCAGAAGGAAAAAAAAAAAAAAAAGCAGGGTAGGAGTTCACTATCCATTTTCTTTTTTCTTTTGCCTTTTGAGTCCAAAAATTCCAATTAGGAGCAAAGAGAATCTCTTGGAGCTGGGACTGCAGAGCCCTTAGCCCACCTGCTCAGGAGTCCACTCAGTGACTGTGTTGTTCTATTTCCGTACAGGGTTGAATGATTTGGGAAGAGGCTCAGTCCCCAGAAGTCTATGAAGTGTGTGTGTTGGGGAGTCCTGCAGAGGTGAGGGCTACAGCGAGCAGGGTGCAGGTCACATGATTATGCAGAAGCCAGACGGGGTGACTCTCCTCTGAGGGTTCTTGGGGAGGGCTTCCCTGGGCCGCCTGGCTGACCTAAAGGAGGGAAGGAGGGGTTGGCCAGTGGGATCAGCGAGGGAGAAGAGCAGGGGGCCTGCCCTGGCTCCAGCTCCCTAGGCCCTCGCTGGCCTCCACTGGTGGGCTCCAGTGGAGGAAGCAGGAGACTTAAACTTCATGTTCCCCACTTCTGTAGAGATCTCTCTCTCTCTCTCTCTCTCTCTCTGATTCCCATAGTCAGGCCATGCAGGAGGCAGGGAGACCCTGGGCTCCAGAGCTGGGTGAGGGTTGTTAGATTGCTGAAGTAAGACAAACATTCAGGGCCCCCTATCCCAGGCACCAGATCATTTCTTTTCCCAGCTATGACAGTGGTCATGTTCCATCAAATATCATCCCAAGCCACACACATCTTCTGCTTCCTTCATCCATTCTTCTCCCCTCCTCCAGGACTCACCTATTGGCTTGGGAGCCATTGGGTATCAGGATACCAGAGTACTCTCTAGGGGCACCCAAACCTCCGAATGGAAGATGGGTCCTGGGTCCTGGACCTAGAATGGAGAGGGTCAGACATTCACCACAAGCCTCTTCACATCAAGGAACATCATGGTGGGAAAGAGAAAGCTCTGGGGGAGGAACAAGGAGGCTGGATATCAGAAAATGCATTGGTCCTGGTACAGGGAGGGTGTACCAAAGACTGTGCCCTCAGCTGGGCATGTCTGTAATCCTAGTGACTTGGGAGGTTGAGGCAAGAAGTTTCCAAATTTGAGGCCAGATTGAGCAACTTAGTGAAACCCTGTCTCAAAAATAAAAATAAATTTTAAAAGGGGGGGTGCTGGGGAGGGGGGATGTAGCTCAGTGGCAGAATACGCTTGGGTAATCCTCAGTACAAAAAAAAAAAAAGAAGCAGCCAGTGTGATGGAAAATGCCTATAATCCCAGCAGTTTGGGAGGCCAAGACAGGAAGATGGCAAGTTCAAAGCCAGCCTCAGCAACTTAGCAGGACCCTGTCTCAAAAAATAAAAAGCGGGGCTGGGGTTGTGGCTCAGCGGTAGAGCACTCGCCTAGCACATGCAAGGCACTGGGTTCGATCCTCAGCACTACATAAAAATAAATAAATAAAATAAAGGTATTGTGTCCAACTACA